CACATCTGGCAGTTCTGTGTTGACATATTGCTCCAATCGTTTTTGGATAATTTTCAGCAGAATCTTATTTGCATGTGATATTAATGATATTGTTCAATAATTTCCACACTCTGTTGGGTCACCTTTCTTTGGAATGGGAACAAATATCAATCTCTTCCACTCAGTTGGCCAGCTGGCTGTCCTCCAGATTCCCTGGCACAATTTAGTGAGCACATCCAGGGCAACATCTGTTTGTGAAATATGTCAATTGGTTCCCACGGATTTGATTTCATTTTCCTCCACTTCAGCTTGAACTTGCATGAGTAGTTGGTGGTCTGTCCCACAATCAGCACCTGGCCTGGTTTTCACAGCCGATATTGAGCTTCTCCAGTGAGTCTTTCCACAGATGTAATAGATTTGATTCATATGCATACCATCAGGTGAAATCCATGTAGACGCCAATGCCAGAGAAATTGTTTTTAGGACTCGGGAAGGAGACAGAGTTGGAGATTTCCTGATCTCAACATCTTATTCCAGGTACGGAGACACTAGCCAGGGACCCCACAGACACCATTGCCCGAGAAAAAGTTTTTGGGACTCGGAGAGGAGACAGAGTCAGAGTTTTTCTGATCTCAACATCCAAGACCATCCATGTAATCTGTTATTCTCAGATCATGCAGTCACCGTGTCAGTCCATCTTGTTGAGGGTCTTCGTCTCTATTGCTGGCCCTTTACCTTCCTCAGCATATTGCCTTTCTCCAAGGACTGATTCCTCCTGAAAAGACACTTACCATGAAATGAAGTTTTACCATCCTTGCCTCTAAAGAGCACTCTTGTTGCACTTCTTTCAAACAACAAGTGGTTGAGCATCAACAGTGCTACAGTGACTCTGTATATTCTTTCCATCTCTTTTTTAGTACAGTTTGAGATCTGAGTTTTCTACTTCAGTTCTTTCAGCTTGAGAAATGCCAAGTCCATTCTTCCCATTTGTTTTTTTCTAAAACTAGGTCTTTGCACATTTTAATATAATGCTTTGACTTCTTGAGCATACTTTTGAAATAGTCTACTCACTTCATGATTATGAAGTTTATGTTCTTTCATAAGTTCTTTGTGTTAGTTCTTTCAAATTCCTCGGTCAGTTTCAGAGTATCCCCTGATACCCATTTTGGACTCTCCTTTTTTTAATGACTCTTTGCTTTCTTCATGTTTTACTTCCTTGATATCAACCTACCATTCATGTATTCTTTGGTCTATATTTGATACATCAAGTATATTCTTGAAGTGGTCTCTAAACTTAAATGGGATAAATTCTAGGTCATATTTTTTTGTCTCTTGTTTTCTTTTCATTTTTTTCAGCTTCAATGAAACAATAATGGTCTATTCCACAGCCAATCCCTGGCCTTGTTCTAATAATGAGCTTCTCCACATGAAGTCAATTTAATTTCTGCATCTTATGTCAGGTGATATCCACATGCATAGTTGCCTTTCTTTAAGTTATTAGTAATAAATAACTAGTTGATCTTGTAAAAGTCTACCTTACAAATTCAGGCTCTATTTATACCAGCAAGGCCTTATTTTCCCCACTACTACTATTTGCTTCTAACTTCTGCACTCCAGTCACCAGTTACTGTTAATGTACCTTGATTGCATATTTGATCAGAATCAGACTGCAGAAGATGGTAGAAAAACCTCAGTTTGTTAATCTTTTACTTAAGTGGCTGATGCATGTATTTAACTAACAGTTGCATTAACAGGATTTTTTTTTTGTATGCCTATGTATATTATCCTACCTCTATCACTGACTACATTACACTTCAGGATAGATTTTGATTTTCTTTTTGAAGATCAATGTGACACCATTCTTCTTCAGTTTGGCATTTGTGGCCCAGGAGATATTATTGTGATTCATAATGATCAACATCAGTCCATCTCAGCTGACCTAGAATGTTGATGTTTATACATTCCATTTCCCTTTTGACAACTTTCCATTTTCCTAGATTCATACTTTGTACATTCTTTATTCCAATTATTAATGGATGTTTGCAGCGGTTTCTCCTCTTCTTAAGGACTTACTTCAGAAGTTGATGGCCAGTCCTGTTTCTTAATCTGCCTGAGTCAACCTGAGTTTACTATGAGTGAATTCTCTGGTCTTTTAAATACCAGCAACTTAGCTTCCAGTCTCATAGCAATACATAAGCTACCAAAGTACAGTAAACTGATGGATGGATGATGACTGACTTGTAGAGTAAAGATTATTATGGTAGGAAAGTATAACTGGAAGCCATTATGATTTACTCTGGGGCTTCGTCTGATATACTTTGGGCATGTTGCCAGGAGAGACAGGTCCTTAGAGAGGGACATCATGCTTGGTAGGGTGGAGGGACAGCACAGGAGGGGAAGACCCTCTATGAGATGGATTGATTCGGTAACTGGGGTAATCGGGATGGGTGTGTCAGAGGCGGTGCAGTTGGCGCAGGATAGAGCAGGGTTTAGGGTTGCTGTGCATAGGGTCACTATGAGTCACAAATGACAACAACAACAGGAAAATAGTAACTCAAAAGGTTATGTAAAAGGTTTATAGATATCTGTGAAAAAAGAAATACAGAGTGGCAATTCCCACTACATGTCCATTTAGTTTACCTGACCCATGTGAAAAACCAGAAGAATCTCCAAGAATTACAGTGGGTCTTAGCCAAGTGATAATTCAAATCACAGCTGCTGATCCAGACGTGGTTTCATTGCTTGAGCAAATTAATATATATCTTACTTAGTACATGGTATATGGACCTTGACCTGGACAATAGCTTTTTCTTGATTCTAGTTTCTAAAGAAGTAATGTGTCTTCTGGAAAGACAAGAAGTATACCCCCAAAGTTCTACCTCAGAGGTATATAAATTGCAGGTGCTGTCTTGAATTTAGTCCGGAGACTTTGATCTCTTTTCTCTTCAAGACATTACACTAATCTATTACACTGACACCATGTTGACTGGACCTAGTAACAAATGAGGCAGATCTAAATACCAATTAAAGTACATAACCAGTTGCAGAAAGGATTGCAATTGCTGAGTTTTGTGTGTGTGTGTGTTGTTTTTTGTTTTTAATTTTATTTTATTTGTGTGTGAGTGTACCATAGACTGCTAAGAAAACAAACAGGTTCATCCTGCAGAGGGTTAAACCGGGTGGCTCCTTGGAAGCAAGGATTCTGAGGCTTCGTCTGACATACTTTGGACATGTTGTAAGGAGAGACCAGTTCTTAGAGAGGGACATAATGCTTGGGAGGGTGGAGGGACAGCGCAGGAGAGTAAGGCCCTCAATGAGGTGGATTAATTCAGTGACTGGGGTAATCAGGATGAGTGTATTGGAGACAGTGCGATTGGCACAGGACAGAGCAGGGTTTAGGGCTGTTGTACATAGCGACTCGATGGAACATAACAATAAGATAACAACCATCAAACTGGATTTGACTGGTACAGAAAGAGATTGCCCCTCCTTCTCCAGCAGAGCATCCAGTGGATTCAAACCACATACCTCTGGGATTGCAGTGCAGCTTCTTGTCACTAGTCCACCAGAGCTTCCCTACTTTTTGTGTTTTTAAAATCTATTTATGTATGTTTGTATATAAAATGCCTCTTTCTTCACTCCTTTATCTAATTACTTATTATAAACTATAAGATATGAAGCAGAGTTAATTCATTTTTAAGTTGTATTAATGATACTGTATCATATGTGTGGTATAAGAAGATGTGTACATGTGCCAAGTTGGCAAAGGAGAGACCGTGATGGTTAATATTATGTGTCGATTAAGCCATGCTCCTGAGTAGTTCAGTAGGCACGATGCTGTGCTCTCTGTTTTGTGGTACGATGTGAACAACCAATGAACCAGAAAAGGAGTTTCCTTGGAAGTGTGGCCTGTATCTACATAATAAATAGACATCCTGGCAAAGCTCTCACTTTTTTCTTTTTGGCTCATAGAATCCCAAAACACTGGAGTATGCTCATGGGAAACCTCAGAACTAGTCATATGAACAGAGCAAGGAAACACTGTATGGTTCAAAATCAAGAAAGGAGTGTGTCAAGGATGTGTCTGTTCACCATTCCTTTTCAATATATAGGCTAAACAGATCATGCAGGAGGCTAGACTCCATTTAGAAGAATGTGGCACCAGGACTGGAGAAAGAATTTGTCAACAACCTCCATTAAGCAGATGACACAGCCTTGCTTGTTAAACTGAGCAGGACCTGAAGCATTTGCTGCGCAAGGTCAAGGACAGCAGTGGAGAAGGACAGCCTGCTTTGAAGGTTGGAGAATCAGTGCAGGAGAGGGAAGCCCCTGGATGAGATAGATTGACACAGTAACTATGTCACTTGCAATGGGGCAAGTATGTCAAAGATAGTGAGGTTGGCTTAAGATAGGCAGAGTTCAGAGCTAGTGTTCAGAACGTTGTTATGAGTTGTAGTGAACTTGACAACACATAGCAACAATGACATCCCAGTAAGCCTGCAGGCCAGATACCTGACCCAAGTATTTGAGGCTTTCCAGTTTCCATAAGTGTGTGGACCATTTCTTTGAAGGAATTATCTTTATCTATATATGCTTCATTGGCTTTGCATTTGAAGAGAACCCAGCCTAAATAAATGCCTGATAAATTTTAGACCAAAGGCTATGTTAATAGCCTAAGTACTATATTTCTACTATGCTCTTAAAGATTTATGGGGAGATATATATGCATGTATATATATATAGATATAGATTTAGATATAGATAGAGATAGAGATAGAGATAGAGATAGAGATAGATAGAGATAGAGATATATAGATATAGATATGTAACTCATTGCAAAATAAAATAAATCTTCACAAATTAGCTTATAATGTTTATAGTATAGTAGTTACAACAAAACCACATATTAATTACAAATTCTTCATTTGAGGATTGCTTTGGCTTTGACAGAAATATCTACTTGCCCCAGAGATTGGTTTTTGGGTTTCAAAACATTTATCCAAAGGAGAAATTGCTGTGATTTATATCTTCCCAGCCTCTTCCAAAGCCTGAGCTCTCTGTGTGATGTTCCTCTGAAAGGGCATCATGAAATCTTCAAAGTCCACCTCGTAGGTGAACCGCTCCCGCAGCAGTTCCCTTTTCCTGATCAGCTCTGCTGTAGTGGCCTCGGGACTCCAAACCTTAAATAAACAACAAAGCTCTTGTCAGAGACAATAGATAGTCAATGCAGATGTTCATATCAAGACAATTTCCAATAGAGTTAGTGTAAGACTGCCAAATTCATTTCTCAGCGGTCTTTTTCTTCTCTTCTAGATCGTAAGAGAAAGATCACTATTTCTGATGATAAGTGTTTGGACAACTGGATACGGAAAAGCTCTCCAGATAGCTTTCTGGTGACCCAGGGACATTTTTAGGGTACCAATAGAGGGAAGCAAAGGAATGAGAAGACCAACTGGACTTAGGACCTTTGTGTCTCAAATGGAAGTAAAAATTATTCTTATAGTAGAAGGCAGAGGAATACGGCAGTCTTATTCATATGGATTCATAGCTATTAGGGGAAAAAACCCTCTTAACCTATCACCCCCTGCCCCTTCAATGCTGCCATCTCTTTTATTGCAGGCATTTTAGGAGATCCATGAAAAATCCAGGCTTGATTGGTGGGAAACATTCAAATAAGATGGTACTCATGGGTACAAAGAGGAAGAGTAGGGTCTTAGAAGTATCAAGAGAAAGTATCTATAGAATTTGATGAATAAATGTGTAGAATTTGATGAATAAATGTGTAGAGAATGGCACTGATCAAATAAAATGTCACTATTTCAAGAAGTAAATTATCACTATATATAGAAAATAACACAAGGAACCAAATTTTAGGGGCAAAACAAGTTGGACATACTGCATTGGAAGTAACTGCAGAACTTTAGAAAAAGGCACATACAAATAGCAACTATAAAAGAAAACCTTTGAGCATTTGTTTAGGTGCTCTGCATAAAAAAAACAACCCTTTTCAAAGTAACGATATAAGCATGTATTCTCTGGAGTACTCACCCTCCGAGGAACAAAAGTTATGTTTACTTTCTTGGTATAACCATTAGTAATCAAAGAATTGAGATAAACCACAGTGTCCTTAGTAATTTTCTTGTCTTCCGGTATTAATGGTACAGCATAAACTGAAGAAAGTGGTTCCTAGATATAAGACAAAAAAAATAATAATCTATTACTTGAAAAACCCAACGTAAGTTATTCACAGTGGTATTTGCTTGTTACGTTCTTATGAAGGCAGATAAAAAAGAAACCAAAAATTACACTTGTTATCGACTTGAGTATGACTCCTAGCAACCCTTTGGACAATGGTTCTGAACCCCATCCTATCCTGTGCCATCCTCACATTTTCTGACACATTATAGCTCATCGCAGCAGTCGTCGTGTCAATCCACCTGATTGACGGTCTTTTGCTTTGCCAAGTCTCTACCCTTTCAAGCATCATGTCCCCTTCTCCAAGGAATCGCTCCTCCTAGCACCATGCCAAAAGTATGTGAGGCAAAGCCTCATCATTCTTGCCTCCAAAAAGCACTCCAGCTTCACCCTATCCAAGACATATTTATTTTGTCTGTCCATAAGTGCCTTTCTCCAACACCATAACTTAAAGTCATCATTTCTTCTTCTGTCACCCCTATTCATTGTCCAGCTCTCAGAACCACAGCAAATGATAAGAAAGACCATGGCCTGACTCAGACACACTTTAGTCCTCAAATTGACATCATTACTCTTCAATAATTTGGATGAGTTCCTATGCGCAGACTTTTCCAGTGCAATGCATCTCCTTATTTCCTGACTGCTGGCATCAAGGGTGTTAATTGTGGATCCAAGTAAGGTGAAGTTGTTGACAGTTCCTATCTCTTCTCCATTCATTATGATGTTGCCTATTGGTCCAGTAGTAAAAATCTTTGTTTTCTTGACATTGAGATGCAATCCATTTTGACGGCTGTATTCCTTGATCTTCTGCAAAAAAGTGCTTCAAGTCCTCCTCTCTTTCAGCAATCAAGGTTGTGCCATCTGCATATTGAATCTCCCTGTGCTCCTGATGCCACATTCCTCTTCATAGAGTCCAGCTTCATGAATAATTTGCTTAGCATACAAATAGAATAGATATGGAGGGAGAATACAACCCTGATCCACTCCCTTTACTTGTATATGATATTAATGAAATTGTTCTATAATTTCTATATTTTGCTTGATCATCTTTCTTAGGAATGGGAGCAAATATGGACCTCTTCTAAACTGTTGGCCAGACAAGCCCTCCTCCAAATTTCCTGGCATAGACCGGTGAGTGCATCCAAGGCTGCATCTGTTAATTGAGACAAGTCAATTGGTATCCCCGTGATTTCTGGGGTCTTATTTTTACTCAGTGCCTTCAATGCAGCTTCTACTTCCTCCTTCATTACCATTGACTCATGTTTGTACGTACTTCCTGAAATTTTTGTGTCAATCAGTTCTTTTTGGTACAGTGATTCTGTGTATTCTCTCCATCTTTTATTGATGCTTTCTGGGTCATTCAATACATTGTCCATATCACCTTTGAATATTGCAATTCAAGGCTTGAATTTGTTTTTCAGTCTTTAAACTTGAGAAGTGCAGAGTTCTTCCCTTTTTATTCTGCAATTCTAGCTTTCTGCATATTTCATTATAATACTTCTCTTTGTCCTTTTGAGCTGCCCTTTGAAATCACTTTTGCTTGAGTGATTCCCCTCCCCTCTCCTTTGTTTTGGTTTTTTGACACTCTAGTGCAATTTTTCAGTTTCTTCTGACATCCATTTGCTTTTTTTTCTTTCTCCTGTTTTTGCAATGCCCTTTTGTTTCTTCATGGATGATATCAAGAATATAAACTCATCCAGTAGCTAATTCTGAGAAGAATGGGAATCCCAGAACACTTGATTGTGCTTATGCGAAATCTATGCTTGGACCAGGAGGCAGTCATGACAACAGAGCAAGGAAACACTGTATGGCTCAAAATTGGGAAGGGTGTACGCCAGGGATGTGTCCTATCTCCATATCTTTTCAATCTATATGCAGAACAGATTTATCTGGGAGGCTGGGCTCTATGAGGAGAAATGGCATCAGGATTGGAGGAAGACTCATCAACAATCTGCATTATGCAGATGACACAACCCTGCTTGCTGAAACTGAGGAGGAACAGAAGTGCTTACTGTAGAGGGTCAAGGAGTGCAGCCTTCAATATGGATTGACACTCAATATCAAGAAAACAAAGATTCTCACTGCTGGGCTGACTGGCAGCATCATGATAGATGGCGAAGAGATTGAGATTGTTAACAGCTTTACTTTGCTTGTCTCCATAATCAGCACTCTTGGCACCAGCAGCCAGGAAGTTAAAAGATGAATTGCATTGGCAAAGTCTGCTGTCAGAGACCTCTCCAAAGTAATGAAGAGCAATGATTTCACTCTGGAGGCTAAGGTGCACCTGATACAGGCCATGGTCTTTGCAATCACTTGCTATGCATTAGAGTGCTGGACAATGACTGGGGGGCAGAAGGAGAATTGATGCCTTTGAGCTGTGGTGCTGGAGAAGAGTATTGAATGTACCATGAACTGCTAAGAGAACAAACATGTTTGTCCTGGAAAGGGTGAAACCAGGCTGCTCCTTGGAGTCAAGGATTTTGAAACTTCATGTGACATACTCTGGACATGTTGCAAGGAGGGACCAGTCCTTGGAGAGGGACATCATGCTTGGGAGGGTGGAGGGACAGCACAGGAGAGAAAGACCCTCAATGAGATGGATTGATTCAACAACTGGGGAAATGAGGATAGGTGTGTCAGAGACATTGAGGTTGGCACAGGACAGAGCCGGGTTTAGTCTGTTGTACATAGGGTTGCTATGAGTCACAGGAGAGTCGACAGCACATAAAAACAACAGTCTTCAGTCATTGGTGTTTAATGCCTCAAACCTATTTCTGACATGATCTTGAAATTCAGATGGAATAGATTCAAGATCATATCTTGGGTCCTGTGGATTTATTTTCATTTTCTTCTGCCTCAATTTGAATTTGCATATGAGTAATTGATGGTCTGACCCACAGTCCACTGCTGGCCTAGTTTTGACTGCCAATATTGAGCTTCTTCAATAATTTCTTACACAGATGTAGTCAATCTGACTTCTAGGCAGCCCCTCAGGTGAAGTCCATGTGTAAAGTCATTGTGTCTTTTAAAAAAAGGTATTTGCAATGAATCATTGAAAATACAAAATTGAATCATTCTATTTCCATCCTCAGTTCAATAACCAAGTCTATATTTTCCAACTACTATTCCTTCTTCACTGTTTCCAACTTTTGCATTCCACCAATTATCATTAATGCATCTTAAACGCATTTTTAGTCAATTTTGGACTGCAAGATATGGTAAAAATTCCCATTTTCCTCCTCTTTGGTTGTAGTTATAGGAGTGTATATTTGAATAATAGTTAACAGGTCTTTCTTGTATGTGTATGGATAATGTCCTATTACTGCCAACATTGTATTTCAGAATAAAACTTGAAATTGACTTTTTCACTATGAATGCAACACTATTCTTCTTCTGTTTTTCATTTCCAGTCCATATGCCGTGATTACCTGATTCAAAGTGGCCAAAGCTGTTTCATCTCATCTCATTAATACCTAATATGTCAATGTTCAGATATTCCATTTAGTCTTTGACAATTTCCAGTCTTCCAACTTTCAAGCTACGTACATTTCATGCTCCAATTTTTAAATGATGTTTGTCATTGTTTTTCCTCACTTCAACTGACCTCCAATCTGGGCTCTACCACTACACTACTATAACTATCCATATTCCTCTAGTGTTCACAGGGTTTTCAAAGGCCTATTATTTAATATGTGAATGGCAGATCCTGCTTCCTAGTCTGTCTTAATCTGGGAGCTCTACTGAAACCTGTCCACCATGGATAACTCTTATAACATTTGACACACCAGCAGCACAGCTTTCAGTATCACAGCCATCCACAGTTAACTTTATCAGTTTTAACTTGAGGTTAAATATAAGATCTTGGGATAATTTGAGGCAAGGGAAATTTATTAGTTTGACGTAAATCTTTCTTGTTGTTATTGTCCAGGAGAAACCATGTTGTTCTCTTGGTGGTCCATCATATGTCCAATAGTCTTCTCTAGTATCACAATTCAATGGTATTGATTCTTCTTCTGTCATCCTTAGTCATTGTCCTACCCTCAGATGTATAACAAGTAATTAAGAAGACCATAGCTTGGATCAGGGGCACATTGTTGTTGTTGTTATGTGCCATTGAGTTGCTTGCAACTCATAGCGACCCTATGTGCAAGAGCCCTAAACCCTTCTCTATCCTGTGCCAACCGCATTGTCTCCAAACACCTACTCCCACTACCCCAATCACTGAATCCATCCATCTCATCAAGGGTCTTCCTCTCCTGTGCTGTCTCTCCACTCTCCCAAATAAGATGTCCCTCTCCAAGGACATGCAACATGCCCAAAGGGACACCTTAGTCTCTAGATAAGACATCATCATTCCTTAGCATACTGGAGAGTCCCTAACAGCAAACTCTACTAAAGCAACTTGTCTTTTGATTGATTCCCTGACTGCTAGTGCCAAGAGTGTTGATTATGGATCAGAGCAAAATGAATTTGTTAACAACTTCAACCTCTTCTTCATCTATCATGATGTTGCCAATAGGCCTGGAAGTGAGACTGTTTGTTTCATTGGTATTGAGATACAATCTATATTGAAGACTGCAGTTCTTGACTTTCTGCAGCAACACTTCAAGTCCTCCTCAATTTTGGTGGGCAACGTTGTGTCATCTGCATAATGTAGGTTGTTGATGAGTCTTCCTCCAATCCTGATGCCATTTTCTTCTTCACAAAGTCTAGCCTCCCACATGATCTGTTTTGCATATAGATTGAAAAGGTATGGAGAAAGGACACATCCCTGACACAGTCCTTGATTTTGAACATGCACTGCTTCCTTGCTCTGTTCATCTGACTGCTTTCTGGTCTTAGTAGGTTTTGCATGAGCACAATCAAGAGTTCTGGGATTCCCATTCTTCTCAATGTTAGCTACAATCTGCTCTCATTCACACAGTCAGATGCCTTTGTATAGTTAAGAAAATAAAAATTGTCATTCTTCTGGTACACTCTGCTTTCAGCCAAGATCCAGCTAGTATTGACTATGATAGCCCTAGTCCCATGGCCTCTTCTAAACCCAAATGTGCTGTTTCAGCCATTTTTCAATAAGATTTTTCTTGCATGTAATATTAGTGATATTGTTCAATAATTTCCACACTCTCTTTGGATCACTTTTTTTGAGACTGAGAATAAATTGGACTTTCTTCCAGCCAGTTGACCAAGTACTGTCCTCTATATTTTTTTGGCACAACATGGTAAGCAAGAAATAGAAATAGGAAAAAAAAATAAAAGAAAGAAATAGAAATTGTTAGAAATACTTAATTTCTTAAACTTTGACTTTTTTTTTTAAATTGGTGTGTTAATTTGAATAATAGTTACATTAACACATCTTCCTTGTATGGGTATTGAAATTATCCTATCACAGACAGCATTGTACTTAGGACAGATCTTGAAATTTGCTTTGAGATGATAAATGTGATGTCATTTGTCATTAGTCTGTTAACTCCTGACACAGTAGATTATTTGATTATCTGATTAAAAATTAGCATTATCATCACTTCTCAGTCTTCTGGCTAATATAACTTGTAAAAATGATCATTACTAGATACCAGACCATTTCATCTCAGCAATTCCTAAGATATCAATCTTTTTGTGTTCCATTTCTTTTTTGACAGCTTGCAATTTTTCTTGATTTACGGTCCAATTATCAATGGATGTTTGCAGCTATTTCTTCTCTATTTTGGGTCACGCCACATCATCCAATAAAGGCTTTCACTGACTGAACACTTTGCTCTGTTCACAGCATTGAGGCAGATCCTACTTCAAGTAGGAGTTCTTTCATAATTATGTTTACTGTGCCCAGAACATACTTTGTTAAAAGTAGAGTCTAGTGGGCAGTCTCCTCCCAAACGATTAGGTGCCTCTGAAAACCCGCCAGAGGATCAGCAATGGGTCCGTACACAACAACAACAGTAGTGTACTAGTAGTGGGTGTTGGGGGTTGATGGAGGAGAAAGATTGAGCCCCACCCCAGTACTCTGAGGAGATCTACATTTGAATGGATTTATAAACCCACTTCGAACTTCTGACTGAAGAAAGTCACATTTGAAAGAAGGACAGGCAAGATAGGAGAGAAAGGAAAAGGAAAAGGAAAGACTGTCTTTTTTAAACTCGAACAAGCTGTTTGGCTTCTGAGGCAGGGTAAAGTTGGTGCCTATCAGAGACCACTTCCAGCACCTGAGATTGGAGGGAGAAGGTGAGAATCCTCACTCATGGGATCACCTGGATCCAAAGGAATGGAAGTGGGATGAATACAATGGAGAAACACGCTGAGCTTTGAAGTATTCCTTTAACACGGTCCTTAACATGCACAGCCCTTCAGCACTTAGCATGCACGATGTATGGATGTGCAGGAAAGGGTTGTTGGTTTGAAGAACAGGGAATCATGAGGACTTGCTGACTTGGCCCGATGTGGGGGTAAGGGCTGTGTGAAGGGATCAACAGATCTGGAACATAAGGAGAAGTGTAGACTCCTTAGCTTGTGGCTCACAGCCATTTGAACCTAGCCACAGCTGGCTGGGGATAAGTTGACCAGAATCTAACTAGGAGAAGATGATCCATGCTGTGTGTTAGAGTTCATTGCTGCAACCTGATGGCTTGCTCTTGACTAGACTCTGCTTGTGGATGTAGAGGCTCAGAGTGTGCAGATTGAACAAAAGATTCTTCAGCAAAATTTCTCAGAGTTTTGGTTTGATAAGGAGGGGCAGACCAGAAATTAACGGTGTAAAACTGGGATATTAAGGCATGAGGCATGAGGTAACTGGCTGATACACTTTCATAAATGTAGTTTTTATTAAGGGGACAAAACTCCACAATATACATGCATGAAATTGAATGTAAATGAAATACTGTATAAAAGATGCATAAAATGAAATGTATATAAATGATTAAAATATTAATTTAAGAAAAAAAGACAAATTCCAATAAAACATATACATAGAACAAGAAAGAATTGGCCAAACAGAATAAGATAATACGGCATATTTAGGAAAAATTGTGTTATCAGGGTTGAATTCTTCTCTTTACCTATTTAATCTGTATGCCAAGCAAATAATGTTAGTAACTGAACTATACAAAGAATAGGTTGGAGGAAAACATATCAACAACCTGTGCAGGCAGACGACACAGCTTTGTTTGCAGGAAATGAAAAAGGCTTGAAGCACTTACTGACAGATATCTGAGACTACAGCTTTCAAGATGGATTACATCTCAACATTAGAAAAACAAAAACCTCCTATGCTAGACCAGTAGGCAACATGGTGATAGATGGAGAAGATCGCAGTTGTCAGGGATTCACAATCAACACCATGATATCAGCAGTCAAAAGAAATCAAAAGTCTTGTTGTGTTGGGAAAAATCTGTCAAGTACCTCTCTGTCAAGCTGTCAAAGACCTCTCTAAAGTGCTAAAGCAAGGTCAAAACTAAAATGCACCTAATCCAAACTAGAATATTTCCAATTGCTTTATTTGCATCTGAATGCTGGACAATGAATAAGGATGACAGAAGAATCATCTATGCCTTTGATTTGTGGGGCTAGCAGAGAGTATGGAACAGCCTATGGTCTGCCAAAAGTACAGACAGATCTATGGTGGTGGTAACTGGGGTGCTCCTTAGAGGTAAAGCTGGTGAAATTTCACTGCATATACTTTGACCATCTATTCAAGAAGTGCCAGTTCTTGGAGAAAGACATTATGTTGAGAATGCCTTCAGAAATGTGGACTGACGTAGTGACTATATCAAGGGGCTCAAGGAAATCAGACACAGAGAGGATGGTGCTGGAGAGGGCACGATTCTGATTGATTGTTCATTAGGTCGCCTATGGGTAGTCAATCCGAGGGCACAGAACATCAAATGTCTATTACCAATTCCGGTTTCAGTATTCTTATTGCATTTAATTGAACCCACTTCATTTCATGTGGAATTTGTTTGAATAAAAAGTGCTTAGATTCTTTCCAGAATAGTTAATACATTTTCCTGTGAGATATTCCTTTAAAATCCAAAGTAGGAATAGGAGATGGTAGGCATGCAGAGGGTGGGAAGCAGAGGAAATTACGAGCTCATAGAGCTTGGTGGGCAGAAGGAGGAGGTGAAGGAATTAGGAAAGATACAGTGGGGACCCGAAAAGATAGGCAATAATGGCCATAGGTCAATGGTGCTTAATTTTATAAAAAAATAATGTATGGAATACAATATGAAATACAGATACATATGAAATATAATATGAAATACATATTCAATACAAGTGAATGAAGGACTGTGTGAAACAGTGTACATGAATGAAACACAATGTATCAAATTTTATATGCAAACCAATATAAAATAAAAATACATTTTTAAAAAGTACTATATGATGCTAACCACTGTGACACTGATGTCCAAATGTGATAATGGTTACCCATGGTGGACAGTGTTTGGTGGAGCTTCCCGATTAAAATAAGCTGGGAAGCAGGAGTGGCATCCACTTCTGAAATGGCTTGCCCCCGGAAACTCTATGAACAGTGCTCAGGTCTTTTATTCGCAGGGTCGCTATTAGTCGTCTACGACTCGATGGCACTTAACAACACAACATAACTATATAATGGTGCTGAGAATACTAACTGCAAAATAATGTTTTATCCATATTGTATAATCTATAAATAATTCCTCCCCACCCACACTATTAACAATGTTTTAAAGCACTATATTTGCTAATAGTCAATTTCTTTTCCTACCTCCTCTTTCTTGATTTCAGCGCCTTCAGGCTTTGATTTAATGGCTGGCTTGCCTTTTCCTGCTTTTTGATTTTCTGTTGGTTTGGGCAGGTTATCCAGCTTTTCTTTAATCATATTAATTATTCTATAGTCGGCATATGCCTTTGCAACATCCATGGCATTGTGCCCTAATCAAAACATAAGTTCAGAGTCAGATTAGCAATAAGCAATGTAACAAAACGTCAGTACAGCAGCCTTAAGTATGTGGTCCTAAAGGTAACTGTTGAAGGAAATGAGCATGAGGAGTATTACAGGTTCAGAGTATATTTTTTTCTAAAGTAAAGCCAGTTCTAAAATCCTAGGGCTTAAAATACCACTTAGTGCCACAAATTGTTCTTGTTCTTAAATTCTGTTAACAGGTTTCTTTAAGAGGTGAGGGGAAGTACTAGAGGATTATATTCCACCTTCAATCGATATTTCTCTTTCCCACAATAAGCACATTTTTCTTTAATGTGATATTTTCCTATTTTATTTCCCCAATGCCATGACATAATGAGGCAGAGTCTAAATGAAACTGGAGAAGCTGGTGGACACAGAGGGCTGAGCACTGTATACTCTCCAATATCCTCAGGCCTGATGCAATATTACTTGTGACTGAGGCAGCGTGAGGCTCCTAGAGGTATAAAGTTCTCAGATAGAAAAGAAGCAACTAGTTATAACATAAAAAAGGAAAAGGCAACGGAAAAGAACCTCAACGTACTTTTGTAAATCATTTTTCATCATCTTATATGGTATTTGAGGTATAAGGTATGCCTGCTGTTTGTTTCCTACAATCAAAGGAGCTTCTTTTCAAGAATTATTTGGATTTAGAAGGAAATCAAAGTAGATCGAGTCTTTGGACTCTGCTGATTACTAACTCTAATGCCTATAATAGGTGCTATCTCAGTATATTATCCGCTAACCAATCAACAAGTTCACACACTGACGGTTACTAGTCCAGGATTAAAAATGTATAGAAATTTAGGGTAAATATTAAGACCTTTTTATAGCAATTTTAGAGCACAATCTTCTTCCCCACCCCCAATCTTCTTTTTTTTTTCTACCTGCGTCCCAATCTTCTTTTTAATGTAACTGAAAACATTTCCTACAGACTCATTATCATGGAGTAACAAATCTTTCCCTGCAATGAGTTTTCAGAGGCTGTGAATCACTTGGGAAGAAATTATCCATCTTTCTCTCAAGTAGCTGCTGGTGGATTAGAACTTCCCGAGTAGTGCAATTCCCTATGGATTATGCTCCCAGAGCTCCCCATTCTATCAACTCAACTCTGCCATCCAGTGGGAATCCACTCATAGTTGACTCTGCAGAGGGTTTTTAGAGGTTGTAAATTGTACAGAAAGAAATGGTCTATATTTTTCCTGAGGACCAGTTGGTGGATTGAAAATGTCTATGTTTGAGTAGGTAGTGCAGCTCCTTACTATTAGGCCAACACAGTGCCAGAGCATGGGCTCTCCTATCTCTATCTATCTATCTATCTATCTATCTATCTATCTATCTATATCTATCTTCCTATTCTGTTATTCATTGGAGAGTTGGACAATGACTAGGGAGGATAGGAGAATTGATGCCTTTGAGCTGTGGTGTTGGAGTAGAGTATTGAGGGTACCATGGAATGCTAAGAAAACAAACAGATTCATCCTGGGGAGGGTTAAACCAGGCTACTCCTTGGAGGCAAGGATTCTGGGGCTTCATCTGACATACTTTGGTCATGTTGTAAGGAGAGACCGTTCCTTGGAGAAGGACATCATGCTTGGAAGGGTGGAGGGACAGCGCAGGAGGGGAAGGCCCTCTATGAGGTGGATTGATTCAGTGACTGGGGTAATCAGGATGGGTGCATCAGAGACAGTGAGATTGGCACAGGATAGAGCATGGTTTAGGGCTGTTGTACATAGGGTCTCTATGTACATAGGGCTATTGTACATAGAGTCACAGGTGACTCGACGGCACATAACAACAACAACAATAAATTATATCTATAAAATTGCTAGAAAGGCTTCAGGCCTTTTGTTCATAGGGTCACTATGAGTTGTGCTCGACTTGACAACAACAAAGAGAGTAGTTAGCAGTCCAGAAAAGACTATTATCCTTCACCATAGCTAATTTGAGAGAAACCACTGGGTATAAAACAAATTATTCTTTGTACACTCAGTAACATTTAACTCAGATTCATGCTCACAGTAATTGTATACAGCTTCATAAGAATAGAATTCACAGTCCAGAACCTAACACAGACTCTCTTTTACTAATACCAACCATTAACAATACATATATAACAAATACCTCTTCTGTTTTCCATTTGGAATTTAGCACCAAGATCAAGCAAATATTTTACTGTATCCAGTCTACAGCTCTCAATAGCTCTACTTAAAGGAGTTGAGTTGTTGATTGAAGGTGCATCTATTATAGCTCCATATTTAACGAGAAGTTCAACAATATCTTGTTGACCTGCATGGCATGCAAAATGAAGTGGAGTCCACAGGAAATTGTCTGTTGCATTGACATTAGCCCTATAAAATAAGAGAGGTATATAAAATAAATATATTGGTTATTCCACATAAGCCTAAAAATGCAAAGCAATAGTAATTTATAGCTTTTTAACAGTTTTAGCAACTTTTTGCATAAAAAAAATTGTACACATCGTGTTTCATTCATACATTGTGTTTTGCACATTCTTTCATTCACATTGTTTCATACCATCATTCCCATTCATGGTGTTTTATAAAACCAACTATGCCCACAATCACCCCATCCTTTCAGGTCCCCACTGAATCTTTCCTAATTCCTTCACCCCCCTCCCTCCATTTTTAAAACAAACTAGGGAAGCTTTAAATTAAATAAACTCTGTACCATAATTTTGTTCTGCAGCAATTGAAAATCTTAAATATCTTTGTGGATATATAATGTTCTTTTATTTTTTAAAAGCACATACGTCATCCTGATGGTGACCATTTTTGTAAGGTTAAAAGTTACAAAAATTATACAAGTGGAGTCAATAAATAAAAGCTTACTGGAAATATATGTTATACTATCCAATTTTATGTCTACTTTCTCTTCAAGTTATGAATTTTTTAATGTCACTTTCAGTATTAAAATCATACTATATTACTTAAAGCATAATCCTTTAAACAAATTCACCATCCAAAAATTAAAATTGTCTTTGTTTTATACTCATCTTGATAAGATAAAATTTTAATCTTTCTTGGACATTAAAAAGAACAGTAATAACAGTGTCTTTTATCAAATCTGTAGTGCCCAACACTGCTAATAAGTGCTCTTCATCTTTTAAACTAATTTAATCAACAAATTCTTTGAAACCCTAATGAGAAATGGAGGTACAGAAAAATTAACAAATATTCTCCAGATTGCACATCAATGGTTGGAAAAAAGCATTAATACTGACCTACATACGATCACTATGAGTCTCAAGAGACTCAATGGCACATAACAACAATAAGAACAAGAATCTATATTTAAAAATAAGGATATTAACTTTTTTTGTAAACTAACTTATGTGGACACTTATGTGAACTCTATATGGGTTTACTGTGATGCTTAAATTTGTGCCATTGGGGTATCAAATACCAGAATGGTTTCCCAATGTGGACAGTGTTTGGTAGAGCTCCCAGTTATAAAATAGGTTTGGAAGCAGGAACGACATCCACTTCCTAAACCACAGGCCTCTGGAAACTCTATGAACTTGGAGAAATGACAATAGTTATGGAAAGGCATGAGGTCTTTTGTTCACAGAGTTGCTGTGAGTCATGTTCCACTTGATGGCAATCAACAACAACAACAACAGCTTTAGTTAGTTTTGTTTTAAAGGTAGTTATGCTTGGTATTTTTAAAGTGTGAGATGTGGTTTTGTTGTTTGGTTTTGTATGTGTGTGTGTGTGTTTTAAAGTGACCCAAGCAAAATACTGACCTTCCTGAGGTGGTGGGCAAAACTTGTCCTTAAAAAAAAATACAAACATGCCCTTAGTGTTTCTAGCCATTATGCCAACTTGCTTCAATGTCACTGGTACACTCACAAAAAGACCCATTAAATCATTAAATAGCAGCCCCACCCAGGGACACGGCAAATGGTTACTGTGCTCTGGTGCTAAGGGCGGGGGGCGGTTGGAGTCCACAAGGTCTACTCACTCAGAAGCAAATCCTGGGGATTGGTTTCAGACACACACTGGATTGTTATGAGTTCCAAACAATTCCTGAGCAACTGGGTAGTGTGTGTGTGTGTGTGTACCCTACCATCTAGGTAAGACCATGAGCCCAAACTGCTTTATCTTCCAAGAACTCTATTAACAGCACCTGGAAGAGCTTCTGTTCCCCTCTGTGGCCCCTGTGCTCACTTTCAGTTTGGATTTCATTCTTACAGGCAAGTTTTATTTGCCACCACTCCACCCCTTTTCCCATTATAAGGGCTATTATTAAAAAAAAACCCACAAATAAAAATTAAAAATAAGGGCTATTATAAGCCCATTTGTCAATATAAGACCTATTTGCAAAGTATTGAGGCATTTTTCTGTGCAACTTAAAATGTTGAAGCAGAACGTTTCTTTCTCATTCTTTTATTTCCTTGAATTACTTTTGTGTGCCACGGAGTAGCAGCCGACCCAGCTGAGACTACAGTGGGTTTTCAGAGACTGTGAAGCCCTCGAGAGGAGACTGCCCATCTTTCTCCCTTGGAGCAGCTGGTGGATTCGAACTGCCTGCCGCTGGGTGGGTAATGCAACTCCTGACTGTTGACTCATTCAGTCACAGAACATACCCTTTCTCCAGAAGAAACTTGACCGCGTCAATGTTGCCGGTTGCACAGGCCGTCATAAGGGGTGTTTTGTAATAATTATCCTTCATATCGACAGGTATCCCTGAATCGAAGGCCTTTTTCAGGGAAGCCAGGTCTCCTGCCTTGGTGACATAGTTAATGTTGGTGTAGACTTTCGCAGGGTCATCGATGTACCAGGCAGAGTCGTCCTGGATGGGATGTTCTGGGGGGTGAACGCGGTTGAAACGGCTGCAGTCAGTCACGTTCTTGTAGGTTTCAATCAAGTAATAGGGTGGCCCCCCGCCCTTCCTCAACGGGAAAGCATTATCCGGGATGACGCAGATCGGGAGAGGCAAAACGAATTTGCTTTTCTTCACTCTTTTGCCTATCCCTTTTTTCTTTTTCTTAGGCTCGTAGGATCCCAAGACGTAATTCTTGCTTAAGTATTTGGTTCCTTTAAAGAAATCATTAATGTTAATCCCCGCTCCCCGGAATCGCTCGTGAAGCTGGGCAATGGCAGCCAGCTGCTCCGCGCTCACAAAATCTTGCCGCTCCTCCAGGGTCATCACAAAGTCCTCCTTGCTGACCGTCCCGTCGCCTCTATCCACCAGCGAGAAGGCTTCGCGAAGGAAGGTCTCCTGGTCCATTGACCAGTCGTGCAGTCGCAGGGCCCACAGAGGGTTGGGGTTCTTGGCTCCGGTCCTTGAGAGTTTATTAGCGATTTGCTCTGCTTTGCGAATTTCTTTGCCTGCTGCTTTGAAGCCCAACTCTTTAGCCACAGCCCTGGGCGTTTTATGGTCTAAATTCTTCCATTTCAAGTCACAACCTAAAGGGAGGGGGAGGGGGGGAAGAAACATCATATGGATGAGTAGTTTAAAGATTCTACAAACAATATTCATCCAACTGCTTCCTCAAAGGGACTTCGAGAGACTAAGTTGTACCCCCAAAGTAGACACTGAATAAAGCCGAGCCTATTTAGTTACACTAATCTACCTTAAGCTACAATGACAACATAGAGAGAGCTACATTGGCCTAGTGGACAGAAAGTTATGCTACCAAGCCCAAGGTGGGTGATTTTAATCTTGGCCCTCAGGCCTGGCTTAATTTTTTTTTTTTTATCAAATTCTTCTAGGTAGTATAGCACTGGTCTGTGCATTGCTGGACAGAGGTAACTTGTGCTTGCTGTGATGCTAAACCCTATGACACTGATGTCCAAATGTGACACTGGTCACCCATGGTGGACAGTGTTTGCTGGAACTTCCCAACTAAAACAAGCTTGGGAGCAGGAGTGGCATCCACTTCTGAAATGG